TAGCTTTTTGAATTAGTGTTTCTTGTTCTTTGGATAAATACCCAGAAGTGGAATTGCTGGGTCAAATGGTAGTTTTATTTTTAATTTTTTGAGCAAACCTCTATACTGTTTTCCATAGTGACTGTACCAATTTATATTCTCACCAACAGGGTATAAAGGTTCCCTTTTCTCCACTTCTTTGCCAACACTTGTTACTTCTTATCTTTTTGATAATAGCCATTCTAATAGGTGTGAGGTGATATCTCATTGTGGTTTTGACTTGCATTTTCCAGGTGATGAGTGATGTTCAGCATCTTTTCATGTGTCTGCTGGCCATCTGTATGTCTTTGGGAAAATGTCTATTCAGATCCTCTGCCCATTTTTTTTTTTTTTTCCTCTGCCCATTTTTTAATTGGATTGTTTGTTATTTTGCTTTTGAATTTTAGGAGTTCTTTATATATTTTGGATAATAACTGCTCCTCAGATAGATGGTTTGCAAATATTTTCTCTCCTTTAGTAGGTTGTCTTTTCATTTTGTTGATAATTTCCTTTGCTGTGCAGAAGCTTTTTAGTCTGATGTAGTCCCACTTGTTTATTTTTGTTTTTGTTACCTTTGCTTTCGGAGTCAGATTAAAAAATCATTGCCAAGGGTCTCCTGGGTGGCTCAGTCGTTAAGCATCTGCCTTTGGCTCAGGTCATGATCCCAGGGTCCTGGGATCGAGCCCTACATCGGGCTCCCTGCTCCACAGGAGGCCTGCTTCTCCCTCTCCCACTCCCCCTGCTTGTGTTCCTGCTCTCACTGTCTCTCTCTCTCTCAAATAAATAAAATCTTAAAAAAAAAAAATCATTGCCAAGACTGACGTCATGTAGCTTACCACCCATGTTCCCTTTAGGAGTTTTATGGTTTCATGTCTTACATTCAAGTCTTTAATCCATTTTGAGTTAATTTTTGTGTATGGTGTGAGATAATGGTCTAGCTTCATTTTTTTGCATGTGATCGTCCAGTTTTCCCAGCACCATTTATTGAAGAGACCGTCCTTTCCTCCACTGTATATTCTTGCCTCCTCTGCTGTAAATTAATTGACCATATATGCATGGGTTTATTTCTGGGTTCTCTATTCGTCCATTGATCTGTTATGTTTGTTTTTATGCCAATACCATACTGTTTTGATTACTATAGACTTGTAATGTAGTTTGAAATCAGGGAGCATGGTATCTTCAGCTTTGTCCCTTTGGTAACAAAGTTAAGAGAGATGAAGAATGTTTCTTCTTTGAAGTTCAGTATAATGGTTGTAAATCAAGGCTGCTTTTCTCTGTCAAAGTGACATAGGTCCTCCTGGCAAGAGTGGGATAGTTCATTCTTAGTTATCTAATTTCAAATAGCAGAGTTTCTGATAGATGATGATTTTAGAGAACTAAGTTTCTCAGTGAGTAAGAAAATAGTAGTTACTCCAAGGAGGGAATTGTTAGGACATTTTATAGCTGCAGAATGTCCTTGGAAGAAATACTGTTTCCTGTTAACTTCATAGCTTACTTTATTAGTGCCTGTTATTCCAGCCTGATAGATTTTTGTGTTTTCAGGCCAAACTAATTTTTACTTTCTTACTGTACAGGGGGCTTGGTTGGTGGCTCTGTGATGTCATTAGGAACCTAACTCCTTTTACTTTTCCATTCCATTAAACTTATCATGAGCTTGTTACTATATGATAATGAAATGGTTAGTCAACCTTCAGCATAGTGTCTGCATTCTATGCAGGAAGAAGGGAGCAGTCAAGGGAGCATGCACCATGTATGCTACCTTCAAGAGTTTTTCCTGAAAGCCCCACCCAGTGACTTCCAGTTACATCTTATTGGCCTGAGCTGCATCAGGTGATATCCCTGCGAGTGTGTGATAAATTCATTTTTAAAGTTTCATACTGTTGCTCCTTAATAATTTTTTTAGTAAGGAAGTTAGGGAGAATGGATATTAAGTGAGGAGATGGAAATCTCTACAACACTTTCCAAACTCCAGTAAAATGATTTTAGAGGAATAAAAAAATATAAACATACAGGAACAAAGAATACATGAGAAGAGAGAAGAGTAAATGTGTCAATTATTTTAAAGTTGTAAAGCAGATGGAGAAATGTTACCTTGACTTACTTAAACTGAGGAAGTGAAAATCTTTAACAGGCTTTTCTGTTTTTCATTTCCTTGTCCTCCTCCCTCATTCCTCTTATCGAGTGAGATTTGATCTGGAATTACAATTATATATATAATTTACTATATAGTTATAATTTCCTACATAATTTTTACTGCTTATTGTTGTTTTATATATTTACATTGATATATATGATTTTTCCGCCCCAAATAATAAGTGTTTAGCTTGATAGCTCTCTTGGAAGTTTTTGCTCAATTCTTTAATTTTTCCCTTTTAACTTATTTTTCTTTCTGGAATACATTCTCTAGTAATTCTTTCAGAGATTATGCATGGGAGATAAATCATCTTAGTCCTATTGAATCAACCTCATTCTTAAAAGTTTAATTTGAGTGTGTGTAGAAAGTTAGATTTAAACTTATTTTCAAGATTATTTTTTTTATGACTTTGAAGCAATATTTGATTAAAAGTCTGACATCAATTTCTCATTTGTTTCCTCTTTCTGGAAGCTTTTAGGATTTTTACTTTATGCTTAGTAATCTTATTGTGATATGCTTGAGACTTGGTCATGAACCCTTTCTATCTGAGTGCTCATGTCTTTCTTTAGTTTGGGGACATGTTCTTTTATTATGTTTTGAGTAATTTCTCTAATCAACTTTCTTCATTCTGTCTGGAACTTAGACATATTTTGGAATGTCTGCATTTATCTTCCATGTCTCTTAACTTTCCTTCATTCTTTATAATTTTTACGACCTTTTACTCTACATTCCAAAAGATTTTCTCACCTGTTTCTTGCTTACTAATTCCCTCTTAGGCTCTGCACATTCCGCAGATCAGCTTACAGTCAACTACTTGTTCTCAGCCAATATCCATTCTTCCCATTGTGGTAAAGCTTTAGCTGGGCACATGGCTGCCTCACTGCAGACTACATTTCATAACCTCTTTTGTATATTGGCGAGGCCAAGTAACTAAGGCTTGGAAAATGAAATTTGAGGGTAAACGATGTGTGCCACTTTTGGATATTGCTTGTAAAGTGACTGGGTTGCAATTCTTTTGTCTTTTTCTCCCTTTCTACTGGTTGAAAGATGATGAGAAATGAACCAGCCACCTAGGGCATAAAAGTAGGAAGCCCTAGGTGTTGAATTTGTTGAATATCATAGAGCTTTCTACCAGTCATTCTAAAACTTTAGCATGCATCAGAAACACCAGGAAAACTTGTAAAATACAGAATCTGTGCCCTACCCAGGATTTCTGATTCAGTAGCTCTGGGGTGGGGCCTGAGAATTTGCATTTCTAATAGTTTTCCAGATGAAACTGCTGGTCTGACCATCACTCTTTGAGAACCACTGTTCTAGTAATTCTGTTTCACACAATAGTAAACTTTTCTTTGTTGAGTGAGGAGCATTATATTTTGTGGGCTCTTCCCAAATGTTTGGTTATTCTTGAGTGTGTGTAGGTAGGGTATTTGAGGTCCCTGATGTCCAGTGTGCTACGCATATTTGTTTACTACAGCCTTACCACAGTGGATTTAGGGGATGGCCAAGCCTTGATTCTGGAAGAGAGAGTTTTCAGAAGAGGGAGCTTCTATTCATCCTGGGTGTCACCAGCCTCTGGGACACTAACTGTTCTTGCCTAGAGGCAAATATTTTTGTTGCTGTTTACCTAAATTGCTCTAGAGAAGCCTGTTCCTTTTGCATTTCTCAAGCGGTCACCTTGTCAGTTGCCCTAACACCCCTTCTGCTCATAGGATCCACTGATTTAGGGCTTGAAGCTGTCTTATAGAATCTTCTGTATTTTCTAGCTTGCCTTTCCACCTTTCCCTTGCATGATTAGGCATAGATTCTTTCTTCAATTTATTCTGTCTCCTTTCTTGAAGGGATTCTTCATAGTTTCTGTTCCTTTGGAGGACTCCTTTAGTATGATTCAGTGTCCTTATTGATTTCTGCTTATATGATTTTCTGTAATTACCAAGGATTAGGATATGGTAAAGGGATGAGTCAGCATATTCTCTGTCCTCAATTTTGATCTAGCCTCTCCACATTTTATTTTTATTTATTTTAGTAAATACAAATATAAACTCTCTCAGCTGCGTTGCAAGTTTCTTGAGGATCTAGTATTATACTATAACCTCAGACATATTTATATTTCTCAAAATTTAATAAATACTTGTTTGCTTAAGTCTCTCTTTTATCTAACCTGCCTTTGGTGGGTTCTACACATAACCTACCTGCCTTGCGTTTAGTTAACGAAATTTTGTTTAAATATGAGCCTAAGCTAATGATAGTTAAGATAAACTAGAGACAATATTTATAACAATAGTAGTATTTATTGAGGACTTGTGATATATCAGGGTTAAGCTAAGGACTTTATATGCAAAATAAACCAAAATCAAAAACACTAGTGAGTAGTGGAGGGAAGATTTAGACTAAATTTTACTCCAGAGCCCATGCTTTTTTTTTTTAAGATTTTATTTATTTATTCATAAGAGACAGAGAGAGAGGCAGAGGGAGAAGCAGGCTTCCTGCTGAGCAGGGAGCCTGATGCGGGACTTGATCCCAGGACCCTGGGATCATGACCTGAGCCGAAGGCAGACGCTGAACCATCTGAGCCACCCAGGCGCCCCCAGAGCCCATGCTCTTAAGCATTGTACTAACTGCTGCCTCCTAGGAAGGCGTATTTGCTAAATTTCAAAGCCAGATTGCTGATGTGCATTATCCACAGCTTGTATGTTCTAATGTGTGCGAGATATCTGGCATAGAGCTAAATCTAGACTCTCGGTACTTTTTAGTAATTACCACATTGGAATAGAAATAATCACCATTGCCTTTTGTTATTATCTGATATAGTTGATAATAAACACTTGATTTCCTTTTAATTTAACTATAGGTAATAGTGCTACAGACTTACTATAGACAATGGCATGCTAAGGTTGTGGTAGAGAATTTAAAAAGACAGAAAATGTTAAGATTGAAGTGGGAAGCAGAGGAAGAACTAAGGAAGGTACGAGAAAAAGAAGAATGGATCAAATTGGACTATTACCGGAGGCATAATCCTCAAACAAAAGAAGATTTTGAGCTTCTTTATAATGCACTGGAACGTAAGTTTGAAATAGCCTTTGCATAAAATACTAATTTTATAATTTTTCACTAGTAGGAAAAACAGGTTTACTAAAGACAGAAATAAGACCTTATTATTTCAGGATGGTGTCTTGGGAATCTTGGACTGGAGAATTTAAAGAGATAAATAATGTTTTACATTTGGGACAGGAATTAAGGCAGGAATGAAATTGGGAATGCTTTTATATTAACAATGGGTAAGTAAAATGTGCATACTGCTCTGTAAATTATGTGGTTTTAGTATATTATCTCATTTGATTATCCCTGTGAAGTAAAAAGAGAAAGTATTGTCCAATCTGGTTCTCTGATGGTCTTGGGAGTTTGTAAACTCAGAGTTGAGCCATTTGGAATCCCTCACTTCAACATCCTCTTTAGGAGCAACATGCTCTTTAGAGGCGGGATGGGCAATACCTTTTAATTCCCACCCATTAATGATCAGTATAAATGTACATTCTCTACACAAGTGGCTTTTATGCCTTATTTCTTCCACAAGAGGTGTGCTAGTCATTGACACAATTAAAAGCTTCAGTGACTTGACTGGCCAAGCAGTGCCTCCTCAGGGCAGAAGATATACTGTTCTTGAAGCCTTTTCCCATTGCCTCCTTCCAATCTCAGCTGAAATTTTGTCGCCTACTCAGAGGCTTCTGTGACTGACAGTAGAACTTGGATATCCCGTTGTCATCACGGTTCCCAGAGTACCCCAAACTTCTCATTTATGTCACCACCACAGTTTGTAATTTATTTGTTTAATATTTTGTTAAACAATCTGTTTAACATTAATTTTCACCACTGGATTATAAGCTCCATGAGAGAATAACTTAGTTTGTTGTTGGTTTTTTTTTGTTTTTTGTTTTTTTTTTTTGATGATCTCTTTTTCTGTGCTTAGTTCAAATGCCCAACTAATATTGATAGAATGAATGAGTGGGTTGATGAAGGGGAAACCCAAAGATGATGTAATGGAGCCATCTCTAGCTTGAGTAACAGAACATATAATTGAATACAATTATAGGTGTCAGATACTGGGTCTGTTTAAATAGCTATATGGTAACGCTATTTACCAGAAGATGAAACAATTAAACACTAGGTCTAACAAGTAACATTAATAAATTTTTCTCTTTGGTAACATGCAAAATTGAGTGGCTTTAGGAATGTGGCAGTGTTTGAGGTAATAGCCTTCTCCCTCGGCTTTACATCTGCCTTCTCTTTCTCCTGATCGTTGACCTCTGCAAATACTTTGTTTTACTTTAAACTTCACTTCTATTTTCATTTTCTCTCAGATGAAAACAAAGTTTGTTTCTAAGTGTTAAGAGTTAAAAGACAGCACTGTTGGCAAAGTGTCTGTGAAAGGTCTTATTAACAAGCATAAAACTAAAGTTTTGTTATAGTAGAACTCTATCCAAATAATTTTCCAAATTCACATATGAACAAATCAAAGGATATTATTGTTATTTTGTTCGGTTGACAGGCAGTTGTGCAAAACAACAGAAGATATACTGAATGAGGTTCTTCTTTTTCTACTTACTAATGGCTGTTAACTTGGACAAGTCACTCACTTCTCCTAAGCCTCAGGTTCTTCATCTATAAAAGGATTTAATGATCTCTGGCATATTTACTGCACAGGCTTTATAAAGTAAAAATAAATATTGCATTTATGAAAGTACTTTTGGGGCGCCTGGGTGGCTCAGTTGCTAAGCGTCTGCCTTTGGCTCAGGTCATGATCCCAGGGTCCTGGGATCGAGCCCCTGCATCGGACTCCCTGCTCAGTGGGAAGCCTGCTTCTCCCTCTCCCACTCTCCCTGCTTGTGTTCCCTTTCTCACTTTGTCTCTCTCCGTCAAATAAATAAATAAAATCTTAAAAAAAAAAAACTTTAGAAGTGCAAAGATTTATGCATATATAAGTTACTGTTACATGGTAAATAATTTTATACAGATTTTCTATATTAAAATGGAACACACATACTTTGTATGTCTACACATGATTTGTGTGGGAGAAAATGAAATTTCTTACATAAAAAAAGCATTTCTTAGTTTTCTTCCAGCCCTAAAATTATAAATTAAAACTCTCAGATAATTTGTAAGTTGTTTTGTTGTTGTCTTTGAAACTGCTGCCCTCTTGTGGCTCCTAGTGACAATTGCCTAGTTTGAATTACAACTCCTAATAGAGAAGTTTTATTTTTCCTTTGGGTATTATGTCCCTCAGTAATAAAAGCAAATTATATCATTTTAAGAAAACGAATTTAACTATGTATGAAAATGAATTTAACTATGTAAGATAACATAATGGATCAAAGTCAAGGCCATTTCCAGGCAACACTATTTTATTTTTATGTTTTTTTTTTTTTTCTTTTTCTTATAGCAGTGTGTTGAAGGTGACTCCTTCATTGATCTGAATTGTCACTCTTACTTCAGATTCAGCATAAGAGTCATTATCTTTAGGAAACTTCTCTTGACAGCACGAATTAGGCTCAGAGCCTCTTTTCCTTGTCCATGATTCTCTGTAAACACCACTTTCTTAACTGTCTACATTTGTACCAAGGGTGCCTGATAAGATCCTTGCTCATTATATCTAGTAAATATTTGTTGAATTGAATCCCCTAACCCCTTGCCTTGTTTTAACTTGTGCTGATGGCATTTTCTGACTCTTCTCTAATTATTACTTCTTGATCTCAAGGTACCTTGACTTCTAGCTTCTGGAGGCCATTGACATAATCGGGCTCTGGGCATTCAGTCTGGATCTTTCTTGGTTCTCTCCATTCAGGCTTTCAGTCTGTGAATGAGAATTTTAAAAAGCAGATGCATATAAACTGCTAGTGATGGACAAAATCTTGTATGTTCTGCTATTTCTTATTTGGAAATCGCAAGTTTAAATCTCAGAAATTTTAGAATGTGGGGTACCTGGGTGACTCTGTCGTTAAGCGTCTGTCTTCAGCTCAGGTCATGATCCCAGGGTTCTGGGATTGAGCCCCGCATCCGGCTCCCTGCTCAGCGGGAAGCCTGCTTCTCCCTCTCCCACTCCCCCTGCTTGTGTTCCTTCTCTCCCTGTGTCTCTCTCTGTCAAATAAATAAATAAAATCTTAAAAAAATTTTTTTTAGAGTGTGTATAGACTTTAGGACTAGTCCTATCATTTCATTTTATAGTTGAACTTCAGACCCTGGAAACTGGATGATTTGTCCAGGAAGATAAATTAAGGAGATAAAATAGATATATTCTTTCAAATGAACTAGTTCCTTAATATCTTTTTCTTTAAAAATATTGGTGGCTCTTGACATCTGTTATGGACTGAATTATGTTCCTCCAAAATTCATATGTTGAAGTCCTAACCCCCAGTACCTCAAAATATGACTGACTTTGAGGACAGGACCTTTGAAAAAGTAATTCAGAAAAAAATAAGGTCATATGGACAAGCTCTAACCAGTAGACTGATGTCCTTATAAGGAGAGGAGATTAGGGGACACACACACAAACACACACACACACACACACACAGAAGATCATGTAAAGACTTTGGAGGATGGTGGCCCTTTAGAAGCCCAGGAGAGAGGCCCTGGACTTAACCCTGCCATCACCTTGACCTTGAACTCCTATTTTCCAGAACTGTGAGGACATCAATAAATTTCTGTTGTTTAAGCCACCCAGTCTATGGTACCTTGTTATGGCAGTCCTAGAAAACTAATTCAGTATTCCAGTTTTGTTTTTGTTTTTATTATCATCATCCCTATGGAACATATGTTTTATGAAAGTGGGCAGAATTTCTCTTGTTTTCTTCAATGTCTTTTCTGTATAGGTCTGGAAACTGTTAATTCAGATAGAAAATAAGTTTTGTCCATCTACTCCTGATTCCTGTGTGTTTCTATTCCTTATTGGTAGTTAGGACATGGTATTTCTCTGATGTCATGTTCCATTCCTTCCTATAGATTTACAGGGAGGTTGTTCATCTAATGGAGAATTTTATTGGAATTAAAGCCCATTATTTTCGTTTCTAATTAGCTTCACTGGATCATTCCCTTTTAAAAAATCATACTAATAATTTAAGCAAAATGTAAAGTCAATATATATGAATATAAGTGAATTTGAGTACATATATGTATATATCTCCAGATTCACCCAGGACTTAAGTATTAATCTAGGAGAGCAATAAATTGCTATTTGAGGTTGGCAGGATAGCTTAAGTAGTGTCCTAGTGGCCTAAATTTATTACTGGTCCCAAAGGTTTCTAATGTAAAACTAGAAGTAAAATAGGCTTACTTATATCATTCAATTTTTATTTGCTTTCTGGAAACATCTATATAATCCCATGAGATAAATATTCTCAGTTATTATTTCCACAAGCAAGCAATTTTTCTCTTCATTCATATACTGCCTTTGGATATATGGATTTTGTCAAATTTTAAAGTTCTTTTGGTTGGGAGAACTACTCTTTTTTTTTTTTTTTCAGATGGTTTGATTTTTTTGTTATTGAGTTGCGTGAGTTATTTACATATTTTAGATATTAAACCCTCATTGGATATATGATTTGCAAATACTTTCATTTAGTAAGTTGCCTTTTGTTTTCTTTTTTTTATTCTTATGTTAATCCCCATACATTACATCATTAGTTTTAGATGAAGTGTTCCATGATTCATTGTTTGTGCATAACACCC